TTAAAACTCTCCTTTTTATTGTTTTTACTGTTATAATTCTAACTATTCTTATTATTCATATGAACTACATTCAAACCCTCTATTCAATTTTACAGTTGGAACCTTGATGGCATCCCTTGGCTATGAATAATTTAGTACTGTAGTCAGTAATTCTACTGATATATAATTGCTCTGAATGGAGAATCAGACCCACTTTGACCACTGTAGCTTTTGCAAAGGGAAATCATGCTTCACTAATCTATTAGAACTCTTTGTGGCGTCAACAAGCATGTGTATAAGGGCGATGCAGTCAATATACTCTATTTGGATTTTTTGAAAATTGTTGACTCACCAAAGGCTCTTAAAGTAGCCATTGAATTAAAAGGGAAGTACTCTCATGGAACAGTAACTAGATGAAAAATAGGTAACAAAGGGCAGAAATAATTGGTCAGTTTTCACAAGAAAGAGGTGAATAATGGGTTCCTTCAGGGATCTGTACTGGGAGCAATACTCTTCCTTACATGGCTATGTCTAGACTGCAAGCCTCTTTCGAAAGAGGCTTTTTCGAAAGATACTTTCGAAAAAGTCTCTTTCAAAAAAGATCGTCTAGACTGCAAGCGGAACTTTCAAAAAAGCAATCCGCTTTTTCGAAAGAGAGCACCCAGTCAGTCTGGATGCTCTCTTTCGAAAATGCCCTGTTTGCAGTCAAGAACGCCTTTTTTTGAAAGAGCACTTTCGAAAAAAGGCGTTCTTCCTTGTGAAATTAGGTTTACTGCCATCCAAAGAAAAGCCGCGTTCTTTCGATTTAATTTCGAAAGAACGTGGCTGCAGTCTAGACGCAGGTGAAGTTTTTTTGAAAAAAGGCTACTTTTTTCGAAAAACCCCCTGAGTCTGGACACAGCCCATATTCCTTAGGCTATGTCTAAACTACAGAATTTTTTGGGGAAAACAGCCTTTTTTCTAAAAAAATCTTCACTTACACCCACATTGCAATTGCATTCTTAAAAAAAAAAAAAAAACCCCAAAAATCCGAAAGAACAGAAGGGTGTTCCCGACATTGGTAAACCTCTTTCTAGGAGGAAGAAGCCTTTTTCTGATAGAGCTCTTTCAAAAAAGGCATGTGTGGACTCTGTCCATAGTAATCACAGCTTAAATGTGAGATAGCATCCATTCAGTGTGGATCTTTGAAAAAGCACATTGCTTTTTTGATGTGCTTTGGAATTGTGAACGCTCTCTTTTTCAAGAAGTTTTTTCAGAAGATCTCTTCCGGAAAAGCTTCTTCTGAAAGAAGCCTGCAGTCTAGACGTAGCCATAATGATGCAGAAAAGGGTGATGAAAGAATGAAGTAGTAAAGTTTACAGATATACATTTATTTGAGGAGCATAGTTCTAAAATGCAGCAATAGTCAAAATGTTAGGATTGTTTGAAAAGGGATAATTAAGACGAGAAAACATCATTAACTCCTCTATATAGTGCCCACACTTTGACTATTATGCCAGTACTGAATGCTTTATACCGGAAAGGATATAGCTGGAAATGGTTCAAAGAGGAGCAACAAATATGATCAAAGTTAGGGAATGGCTTTCTTTCATAAAATGAGAAACTAAACTGATTAGAGTTGTTCATCTTGAAGAGAGACTGCAAACAGGGGATACCACAGAGGTCTATAAAGTCAGGAGTGGTGTGAAAACAGTGAATGCAGAAGATTTATTTTTGCTTTCACATAACTGAAAAACCAAGGGTCACCTTATGAAATTAATCAGCAGCACCTTAGCACAATCTAGAAGAAGTACACTTTGAACCAACACACAAATAACCGGTAGAATCTGTTGTCAGGGGATGTTGTGAAGTCCAAAAATATAACGAGGTGCAAAGAAGAACTGAATAAATTAATTGAGGGTAGGTCCATCAATGGATATTATCCAAAATGATCAGAGATTCAAATGCCTGCTCTAGGCGACTCCTTAATCTCCGATTGCTGAAAGCTGCAAGTGGAAGATAGGGATGGGTCACTCCATAATTGCCTTATTCTATACAGTTTCCTTGAAGCTCCTCTTTGAGGGAGCCACTGCTGAAGGCAAGATACTAGACAAGAAGAACCCCATCTGACCCAGTATGGCAGCTCTTATGCTCTTAATTTAAATGTGGCTTTGAATGCAGAAAGATTGAAAGCTCAGGTTCTAAAGTTCTAAAGTCAGTGAGAGTTGTCTATGTTGATACTCCACCTTAGAGGCACTGGGCCAAGATTTTAAACAACAACATCGTTTATATGCTTAAAGATGACAATAGGGGCCCATTGGAGTTTTCAAGTCTGACATTCAATGCCTAGCTTATTTTTAAAGGCATTTAGATATCTAAACACTATGTCCTGAGGTCTGTGGTGGGCTTTTTGAAAAATAACATGCATGCAAGCTCAGTTTCTGATTGCCAGGACACTAATTCATGTTAAAAGTTTCAGGTATCATATCACTAATGTAAGATATTAAATTATTATTGCCTCTAAACAATAGATGCATGTTATGCCTAGTGATGCCTTCAAATCACTTCACAGTAATTAACAGGTGTAAATTGTTGCTTGATGGCATACGCCTCCCACAGTTCAGCCCTTTGCTGGCTACATACTGCTTCTAAATTAGTCAGCCTCACCTTAATGCAGTATCTAAAATATGTTAATTTTGTACATTTTACAACCAGATAGGGAAATAACAGTGAATGTCTCCAAGCATTATGTGTATTTCTGTGAGATTCTGACAGCCTTGCACTATTTCTAACTGAGCATGCTTCTCTTTACTTCAGGGTTTGTGTCAATTAAAGGGATCTACTATACTGACTTAAATTAGTATCTGACGCCTTAACTGTAAAATCAAAGGATATTATGAGACATAGAAAATCATAAATATGCCTCCTGTTCTTTATCTGGAAGTATAATAGGAAACTGCACAGAGTAAGAGAAGTCTATAGATTTCTCAATCTATAGACTTAGGTCTGATTTTTTTTAATTGCTTTGAAATGCTCATAAATCTTTACTGATGTTTCCGGTTGAGATTGAAAAGACAAAAAAGAAGCCCTTGAGTTTTAGGTATTCAGATACATGTATTGGAGCACAGCTGGGAAAATAGTATTTCTGAGTCCTTTGGTTAGATGAGAATATTCGGTTTCATGGGATTTCCGTCCTTCCCCCCCATTCTAATCTTGGAGATCATCTTTCATCCAAGGAGCCCATTGTACACATTATAAACATTCATTTTAACATCCCACCACCTTTGTGAAACAAAGTATTATTATATGGCTTCTAAGCTCTAAAAAGATTTAAAGAACATTGAAGTTGCATGACTTGCCCAAGGTCCTAGCAAATTAGCAGCAAAGCCAGAAATAGAATTCAAGAGTCCGTTCAATGGTCCAAACATCAAACCCCCCTGCTTTAACTAGTAGACCATATTTCTCCATAATTGCTAATCCACATAAACGGTTAAAAAAAAGTAAGGGGGGGACCTAAAGGGATTTTTTTTTGCCATTTATTTTTTGAATTTAAAATATTCATCAACTTGCTGAAAACAAAAAAAAATACTGATTTTATTAATTAGCACTAATAAAATAAATGCACCCTATGCTGGCAATAAACACAGTCTATATATGTAAGATATTTATATGGCCTCCCTTACCTTAGCAGCTGAACATCTTGCAATCTTTAACATATTTCATAGATGTAAGGCCAGAGCATCCATTAGAGCATCACCTAATAATCTAACATCCTGCGTAACACAGGCCTTAGCTTTTATGCTGGCATCTGCTAAGTTAACCTACCTTGAAGAAAAGTTTGTGTGTAAATATCAGACTATTTGTAATAAGGCAGTTGGACACATTCCCAATATTTTAAATCGGTCCTGGTCCTGGTGAGTTTTCCTGCTGCTTTATTAGATATGGTCTGAAAAATTTTCACGGATAAATTTTCTTTTTTCCTTCAAGATGGTCTAACTCTTTTGAGAGCAATTTTTGAGTTCCCTTGATTTAGTGGGATGCATATGTTTATTTTTCTTTTGCATACAAAAGAGGAAACCTGGGCCAGAGTACGCGGGTAAATTTTTCAGTCATTCTCCAATAAATTATATATTTAAGTACATTAAGCACCTCATCTTATCTCCTATATTAAGTATTTCATTTCAGCTGCTATTATTTGCGAGCTAGTGAAGACGGAGCATGCCTCTATAACTGCAGAAGAGCAGTTATTAGTTACTACTCTCTCTAGGTTCCCCATTCTAGTGAAACATTGTATTTATGACTCACTGTCTCCTTTCTCCTTCTAATGCAGTACCAATTATCAGTGGACATTGTGCAGTTTAATAATGAATTAGCTAGAAAAGAGTAACCTAGACAAAGCACTTAAAGCTCCTTAGCAAGACAGAGTTAAACTGTTGATCTAAATGAGGCCAAAGATATTCAATTAGGGATCTGAAATCCTCTTAGGAGCATTCTGCCTGCCTATAAAGAAGCTTTGTTTAGTCAGATCAGAGTGTTAATGTACTACTGAATTGTTTAAACAGTTAACTTGAATAATTTATTTAGAAATACATATAATTCTTCCTGCTTCCATCTCTTTTTTATAATGATACAGCTTAAGGTCAATGGCCAATATTAATCATTAGTCTTTTCCTAACTCCCTCCAACAGAAGTCCATAATATGTTGTGTCCTAGTTTTGCTGGTAACAATTTCATCTCTCTCAGTTGAATAGTCACTAGTTCAAAAGTTACAAAAAACATTGGTTCAACATTTCCATGCCGGCACATCCGTAACTGCAAGAAGAAGGTCAACGTGTTATTTTCTAAAACACCCACTTGAGCTCAGTAGCAACACACTATTCTGAGTTTCCTTCTTGCATGCACATAGTATTCCGGTATTTATTTTACTTACTTGCATGCACATAGTAGTTCTGGTATTTATTTTACACACACACACACACACACACACACACACACACACACACACACACACACACACACACACACACACACACACGACTTACCTGGCATTGCTTGGGTCCTTAACTAAAAAGAGTTTTGTTTCTCTCCATTCAAATCATTGTTATGGGATGTAGTCAGGGATGTGGGGTCCAGGATGCAGGCTGTCCCAGGGAGAGAGAAGAACCCCAGCCCTCTCTTACACCAGCTTGGATCCAGGTAGAGAAGCTCCTGTCCATGGCCATTGCAGTGAGCATAGATAAGGGAGGGGTGCTGGTCCCCAAGCTGGGGATAGACAGACACAAAAACAGATAAACTCTCTAAAATATATAGTAGATAGCTGTCCCTTTCTCCACCCTGCCCCCTTTTGGCCCAATGGGGTTTGAGTTGTCACAGTCTCCATCTGTTGCCCCTTGCTGCCCCCACCCCTCATTGTCATTCTGCAGTATACCTCCCTCCTACTAGATCCTCCCTTTCCATTTTATAAGAAAGGATCTAGTTCTAGGCACATTCTGTTTTCTTGGTGCAACCAAACCCTGACCTTGCTTTAAGTTAGGATAAGAGGAAGCAGCATACTGAATTCAGTGGTCCTAGGTCTTATCGTTTAGGAGGAGTTCTCGAACAGACAGATAGATGGACAAACTCTGAAATATATGGTAGATTTTTTTTCAGTCCTCTTCTTCATTTGTGCCTTTGTCTTATTCCCTATATCTGTTTCTACTACATCTCCCTGCACCCTTACACCTTTTTCCATATTCAGCTTCAAAGAGAAATTATTCAAATACTTATTTTAATTGCTGTGGAACTGTAATTGTTTAATACCCAAGCCATTCATGTCATATATGCATAACTAGATGCCTGACCAGACCCTCAAGTACATTGGAGCTACTCTTATAGGGTATGTCTACACTACCCCGCTAGTTCGAACTAGCGGGGTAATGTAGGCATACCGCACTTGCAAATGAAGCCCGGGATTTGAATTTCCCGGGCTTCATTTGCATAAGCCGGCCGGCGCCATTTTTA